CTAGACATTCTGCAGGGAAGGCAAGAAAGTTCCAACTGCGTTAGGCAGAGCAAAAAGTTAGGAGAGCTTGGCCACCCTGAAGCAGGAAGGCTTCAGTGACAGCAGAAAGTAGCCAGGCAAGACATAAACCACAAAGTACAGTGAAGAAAAGGGAAATCTTGAACCTGGGCCAAACATTTAGCTCCAGTTGTTAGCTGGCGCAGACGGTGCTCTGGGCTTGTGCCGGCAGCGGAGCGTGCTGGGTTGCAATGCTGGGCTGAGCTCCAGCGAGGCTCACCTGGAGACACGTGCACCAGCTCTGTCCCTCTGCCCCATGCTCTACCCAAGAAGCAGGAGCCAGCTGCACTGCAGCAGCCCTGCGGGCACCAAGGGCTGTTTCTGGGGCTGCATGGGTGCTAGAGGGGGTGTGGTTTCTAACTGAAGCTTTGAAGTGGTTTTTTGGTGCTCTTTCCACCAAGACCACCCTCCTGGGATCTGCCATGGTCTTGAGAGCCAAGACGAGCTGGAGAAGTGGCTGGTGGGCAATAGGGACTCCCACCCTTCCTGCCCCAATGTATTTCCCAGTCCCTGCCATCCCTTGGCACCCATTCTGTCCTAGAGATCCCCAGCTCAGAGGCTCCACTCAACCCTTTCCTTGCCTACATGTAGCTCCCAAGTGCCCTCCTTCCCCCATCCTCCGTTTTGCTGGCTGGAGACACTTGGCTTTGGTATGTCCTCGTGCTGATGGTCCTCTCGCCGCTTGCCCAGACCCCACATCCCTCCTCTTGCCTTCCATCCTGCTGGGGATTGCAGACCTGCTCCTGGGCTGCAGATCAACAAGGGGTGGTGGAAGAGCATCTGCTCTCCTCTGAGGATGTCCTGCAGCAGGGCCAATGTGAGCTGTGTCCTAGAGCTGCACCAGATCAAGAACCCCACAGCCTCCTCTGCCTGATGTCAGCCTAAGAGCCAACAGAACAGTGAAAGAGAGCAGGCTTCAGGGCTTTTGGTCCATCCTATGTGCTTTTAGATCTGTCCAAAAGTGAGCTTGGGGTGCAGCCTCACTGGGCATCCTTCCTGCCAAGCCACATGGTAGATGACAAGGAAATTGCTGATGGACTGTTTTTTTGCACAGATCTCCAAGCTGTTCCCCAGCCACCCCCCCCGAAACCCCTGGAAAAGTTGCAGAGAGGAGGACAGGCGGTGTGACGGCAGGGAGCCAGGGCTGGGGGCATCCCACCTGGCCACTGCCATCTCAGTGCCATCATAGCATGTCCAAGGACATTTGCAGGAAGCACCTGGCTGAGAAACTGCGCAGCCCAAAGATGATGCTGAGGGACAAGTGAGTTGTAGGAACCCCGGGAGATGGGTGCTCACCTGGGGGGGTTGAGTGGTACCCAGCTGAAGGGTCTTGGCTCTGCTGCCCATCACCTACAGTGACCTCAACACCAATGGCACTGAAGGCAATGAGTGTTAGGGACAGATGGGCTCTAACAGAGCAGGAATTGGCACCTTTTGCATCCCTCTCAGCCAGATTCTCAGGACCATCTTTACTCCCTTAGGGCAACAACATGGCTTGCTCTTTTTTTTCTTTAACTCCATTTAAATCAGATTGACTGCGTTCCCTCAGCTAGAGGAGATCCAGCGGGGCCCTGAGCCCTGTGGGTTAGTAGTGGCCCCAGTCCCTGTGCTGCACCAGGACTGGGACTGCAGTGGGAGTTGTGAGGGAGGCTGCCTCATGCTGGGAGTTGCGAGGGAAATTGAAACATCTGCAATGCCTGCCCAGTATTTCCCAATGAGGTGCATGCAGCCAGGCCAGATCCTGCCCTAGGGACTGGCTGTGCCTGGAATTTGCTGAAAATCCCCCTTTGCCCTTTCCGGCTCCATAGCTGGGAGGTAGAAAGCAGACCACCACAAGGCACCCCAGGGAGCACGCTGGAGCCCATGAGCCAGTGGGGAGCAGCTCACATGCCCCGGGTGCTTCCACAGGCGGCAGGTCTCTGGGAGGGTGGCAGTGTGGCTGGTGCTCCCCCAGGAGAGCCCAGAGATGGAGGTCATGCTCACACGGCCCATTTACATTTTGATGGGTTTGATTTCCCATGAGGATCCCCCCTGTGCATGGTTTCCACTTTAATTAACAACTACATTATCGAGGCTTCTGCAGCGGTGAGTGCTCAGGGATGCTTCGTGCTGCCTGTGGTGTCCTTGGGGCTGGAGCACCAGCACTCCCAGATTGCTCTGGATGAGGCTTAAATGGGTCAGCGCACACGATGTTCTCCCCTCTTCCCAAATCGCACTGGATCCCCTGCCCGTTCCCTGCCTGCATGTGTCTGAAGAGCATGCACCCCAAAATATCTCCTCTTACCCGTATGCGCCGTCTCCTCTGGTCCCCGAGGCTCAGCCCTGTGAGGGGGATGGGGCAGCCTCCCTGCATGCCACAGGGATGCACTTCAGAGATGACCACTCTCTTCTTAGAAATCCCACTGACCCCAGTGGAGAGGGGGAAACCCGTCACATTCCCCTTTCACAACGCAAGCGGAAAGCCCCTTTCCTCAGCCTCCAGTACCCCTCTTGGGGAGCAGAGGTGACCGGAGCAGTTGTGCTTTCACCCACTTGGCATCCAGACAGCTGCTGGGAGGAGGCAGAGCCTCTTTTTCCTACCCCTGTGTCAGCAGGGACTGCAAGCAGCGCGAGAGCAAGGGGTCCCCTGCAGCCAGAGGCTGTGAAGGGGTTTATCACCAGAAGGATGTAATCCCAACACCGAACACACTGCTTTCAGTGCGTGGCCAGCCAGGACCCAGCAGCGTGTGGGAGACCCTTGTGCCAGGAAAGTGGCGGGGACTCCCCCACTTGCTGTGGGGACCAGGACCCCAGCAGTGCCTGGAGGGGGGTCCCACAGGATGGGATGCCCAGCTCCCCCTGCCATTCCTCAGGCATGCTTTGTTAGCTGTCAAACTCACCGAATGTGCAAGGAGGCAAGGGTTTGCTGTCAGGCAGCACTCCCAGCATCACTCACTGGTGGGTCAGGGCTCTGCTTTTGGGGCTCCCTCTTTGCAGGAGGCTTCACTCTATCAGTCCAGCGCCTGGGGAGGACCCGGCTCTAGGTTAGGAGCGGCTATACCCGGGGGTCCGGCCACCAGCATCAGCAGCCAGGAGACATTGTCCCCCCTGCTGCATCATCTTTTTGGCAGTGCTGGAGTGAGACCAAGAGGAGACCAGGTCCCAGAGCCAGCCTGCATCCCCAAACCCACAGGGAGGCTGGGGCTGATGACTGACACTGATCCTCTGCCACCTAAATTCCCCTTCCACCAGCCAAGATTTCTCTTCAATAGCTTGTGAGTGCTAGAAGAAAGCAGGTGCTGACTGATGTTAAGCTGGCACATCCTGTTTGGGCCACTCATCCTGCCCACTTGCCCCTGCCTAACCCCCTTCAGCACAGCCCTGGCTTATCAGGGCACAGGAGAGGCTGGACTCAATGCTCTCATGATGGAGGAGACCACCCCATGCACGAGGCTAGTGCCAGTGCCAGTGCAGGGATGGAGCACCTTGGCTGATGGCACAGTTGGAGTGTCTTCTTTCTTCTTGCTGTGGAGCAGGGAAGGGGCAGAGCTTGCTATCTCCTACTGCTGAGAGAAGCAGAGGGACCTACTGACGTCCCCGGGTCCCAGTCCTCTGTCTTGTCCCCAGGTAGATATTTGTCCGTGTGGAAGGACTGTGGACTGCTCTCTGCTGAGGTGCCAGGACAGGGTGAAGCTGGAGCATGGGAGAGGGTGGAGGGGTGGAGATCCTGCTCCAGGATTTGTTCACCCCTGTGGGGAAATATTTTTCCTACTATCAGTGCAAATTTCCCTGGGTGCAACTGGTGCTCTTGCCTCTCATCCTGTCCCTCGGCCCCTCCAAGAAGAGCCTGGCTCTGGCATCTCTCCAAACCCCTACAGGGCAGCTGCTGGTAGCAGTGAGACCCCCTTCACCATCCCTTCCCCGGGCTGCACAACCCCACTGCTCTCAGCATCCTACATGCCACATATCAGGGCTGAAGCAGGCTGGTTAAGGGACATCACTGCAGGTGGCACTGGCACGGTGGTAAGTCGCCATCCCAAGGAGAAACAGTCCCTGTCTCTGCGCTCCTGTGAAGGCTTGCAATGGAACTTCGCTCCCTGCAGTGCCCACGCAGCCAGTGAGCTGTTGACACTCTGTGCCGTGCACACAGCCTCCGTGGGGGATTTCTGCTCTTGTGCTGAGAAAACCTGTTGCCAGGAAGCTCTGTAGCTGCCTTTGGCCAAGATTCCATTTGCTGGGACACCTGGAAACCAGGTTGTCTTTTGGCATGTGAAATCACAGCCCTGGAGCACAGCATGCTGGCTGGGGTCTCCTCCACCCACCAGCTTCGGATGTGTCCCCTCCCCAGGCAATGGGGGGGACAGGGGGAGCCAGCCAGGCTGCTGCGACCAGATGGGGGGGTTCAGGAAGGAGTCAGGCATCACCCCAGTACCAGTGTATACCCCAAAAATGGGGTTGAGGCAAGTTCTCCTGCAAGTATCAGTGGGTTGAGCCTATGCAATATCTAATGGAAATGTCCCAGAAGTGTCTCAGAGGATGGACTGGGAAATGTATGGGGTGACGCCCCCCCCCCCCCCCATGTGCTTGCCCAGGGGTTCAGGGTGCTTTCACAGTGTGAACGGACCCTGGAGCTGCTCTGTCCCTGACTAGCAGTCCCTGTGGCTCAGGTGCTGGCAGTGGAGAGGGCAGGAGGGTGTTTGGCTCTGGGACCACAGAGCAGCTGGCTACAGGAAAAGCAGCGGGGATATTTGGGAACTACTCAGAGATTAAAACTCTGCCTGTGGCAAGACTTGTTGCAACTTCCCACCCCTTCTCCCAAAAGAAAGTGAAAGCCACAGGCTGGAAGGATAAATACGCAAGCGGGGAGCACCAGCAGCAGAGCACTGGGAAGCTGTGCAGAGCTCAACTCTCCTGCCCAGACTACCATCGCCTCCAGCCCATCCTCTGCCAGCATCAGCAGCAAAATGCAGCGCCTGCATCTTCTCTGCCTCAGTCTCCTGTTGCTGGGACATATCCTAGATGGTAAGAGGGAACCTCTTGGGCTGCCTTTCTTGCAGAAGGAAGAGGATGCGGTTTCTTGCTCTTTTTTGCATTTCCAGCAGACTTTTAGAGGGACCCATGGCTGGGGCTCTGTCACAGCCCTCCTGTGTCCTCTGCTTGTGACCCATTCCAGAGGGACTCTTTCCTGCCCGAAGTCCAGGCAGGATCCTGCAGGGCACTGGGGCTGGAAAGCTGCACTTGGGAAAGGCCATGGAGCAATCCTGCCTCCCAGTGCCCTAGCCCAGCTTGTGCACATTGGGCTGGGATTGCCTTGACCCCATTGTCCCCAGCACACTGGGAGAGCATCCCTGGCACCCTTTGGCGTGAGGCAGCCTGTGGGCAAGTGGCAGGGCTGGGAGTGGGAGGGAAGGCGTGTGTTAGGGCAGAACCCATGTTTGAGGGGCTGCTGGTGTTGGACATGGGGTTTGCAGAGGTCACGGCTGTCTGGGTGGGTGACACCAGGCCCTCTGCTCCGCTGTGGGCAGCTGGGAAGTTCAGACACCTTGTGTTGCTCCACACCTTGTTGCCCAAGGTTACAGGCATCCCTGGGCACTCCCAGCCTTGATGGGCATTACGAGTGAATGCAGCATTTTCTTGGAGGGTGACAGAGCTCCCCTATGCTGCAGTGGAGACAGCTGTGTCCCTCCACTGTCACAGGACTGATTGGTCTGGGGCAGGCTGGTGATGGGATAGCTGCAAAACTTATGACTGCTTCAGCAAATACAGCTGAAGCCATTCCCAGCCTTTCGGGAATGGGCATCTTCAGTGTCACAGCATCCTGAAGTGGGGTGAAGACCCCCATCCTGCCCCGCTTGCCAGCCGGTGCTGGCCCCAGGCGAGTGGGAGGAACTCAGGCATGCAGAAGGGCTGCCCTCCACCAGTCTGCCGCTTCTCACCTCCTTTGCTTTCTGTCAGAAGGAGGTGAAGGGCTCCTGGCGCCGGGGCGTGGGAGCAATAAATCTGGTGCCCACATGTGCCTCTGGGGTGGTGTATGGGCATCACTGGTGGGCACCATGCCACCCCACTCTGCTGGGGGGGCCCCGCAGTCCCTTCACCCTCTGAGGAGGCTGAGTGAAGGCACAGCCAACACAGGGAGAGCATCCTCAGCCTGCATGGTGTGTTCCTCCTCCAGTGCACGGCGGGAACAACGTCCTCGACTGCTGCCTGCGGACAAGTGAGATACCCATCCCGTGGAGGATAGTGCAGGATTACCGGATCCAGCTGGTGCAGGACGGCTGCAACATCCCGGCTGCCGTGTAAGAGCCCCAGGGTGGTGATGTCTGAGGGACAAGAGCCCCAGGCTTGTGATGGCCAAGGGTTGGATCCTGCGGGAAGGCAGGGATAGAGGCAGAGCAGGGTGGAGGAGGGATGTTGAGCTGGAGCTGGGGGTGAGGGAATAGGGAGGGTTGTGGAAGGGACACTGGAGATCAGAGGCTTAATCAGAGTAGGACTTGCCGGGAGGGGAAAACCTGGGACAAAAGTCGGGGAAGAAAGTCATCTCAAGGTAGAGATAGAGGAGAGCAGTGAGGGAGGCAGCAGGTGAGAGCTTGAGACGTGCTTGAACATCCCGGGGGTGTCCTGCTCACCTCATCTTGTTTTTTTTCCTCATGGGCCTGGCAGGTTCATCACCGCAAAGGGCAAGCATCTCTGTGCCCCCCTCCAAGTCCCATGGGTGGTTCGCCTCCAAGAGAAGCTGGATGCCAGCCTTGCCAGGAAGGTAAGAGCCATCCCTGTTCTCTGCCAGGAATGGGGGCAGCCCAGGGTTTAGTTTATCCACCACCAAACAGGCTTTTCCCAGTGTGACTGGGCTGCTGGGAAGAGCTGGGACATGCTCTACTGAGGCATGAATAATTTGTCTTGGTCTCTATCCCTCCTCCCTCCAACTGGGACCAATCTGGCTCCTCTGCAGTCCCTCTTCCACCCCAAATAAATGCAGCCCTGGGGCTGTTGCCCACCCAGTGCCACCCTGGGCTGAGCCCAACGGGTGCCGCAGCAAATGACACCGGGAGCAAACCCCTCCCCACTTCTGCCCTGCAAGTTTGGAGTTTGTAACTTGTGCATCTTCACTAGGAGGGCTTGCAATGAGTTTGGTGGGTGCTTTGCAAGCCCTGCCGGGTCCTTGCTTCACCACCATGGCTTGGCCAGGCCAGGTCATGCCTTGGTGACCAGCCTGACTGTTGGGAAGGGACTCTGGGAAGGCTCCTGCCCCGAGGATCACACTCATCGCAGCTGGGTTTTTCACTTCCCCAGGCCAAATCCCGGGGCAAGGAGCTCCAAAGAAGCCCGTGACCAGCCGCAGCACCTGGAGTGGGGCTGGTTCCCAGGTGTGAATCTGAAGCTAATGGAGCCAACCTGCTTCCACCTCCAGCCACAGAGCCAACCCTTCTCAGGACTTGTGCCAGTGTACGGGGCTGGGCAGAGGCCTGCCTCCTCTCCCTTCTTCCCTCTGTCTCCAGTGTGACCCAGCAACCTGCGTCAGGCTGAGCCAGGGGCTGCTGGACCAGAGACTCCACCGCCTTTGCCACCTGGAAGCTGGTTGATGGACTGTTCCGTGAAATGAGTTTGGGGCACCTCAGCCTTTCCTTCAGCGCAGCAGCTGTGACCTCCAGCACTAGTCTGATCCATTTGGCTTCCATTATCAGCCCCAAACCTGAGTCCTTCTGCATCCCAGAATGGGACAGTGTGGGGATGGAGGGGAAGAATGGAGATGTTCCTCACTGGCCATGAACTGTGCTGCTCCCTTGCTGCGCACAACCTAGAGGCTCTCGGGCAGAATGTGGCTGATGCAGTCCCCCTCTCACACCCTGACTTCCCTGCACTATTTCCCCTCCTGCCTTTCCTTGCACAGGTAGAAATAGAGCCCGTAATGTGGCGGCGGCAGAGCGGGCAGTGATGTTGCCCTCAGCCCCTGCTCTCCTCAGGGACATTGCCCTCCTTCTCGGTCCCCTAGCCTGCCACCGTGTTCAAACTCTGCCCGGCGCTCCTGCCTGGGCAGGGATGCATCAGTAGTGTTCACACTACTTCCAGGTATTTGCTGCTAGATCTGTTTGATGCAACAATTACGTAAGTTGCTTCTTTTCTATCTTTCTCATTGTGCTGTGATTTTGTTAAATAAAAAGAAAAGCCAGCGGGTAGTGTGACCTGTCTCGTGTTTGAGCCTGAAGGCCAGCATGGAGTGTGGGGTGTGCAGCCAGCACTGCCTGCGATGCCACAGTGGCAAGGGGGCTGCGCTGGGGTGCAAGGCTGGGGAAAGGGGCTTTCATAGGGGTGACGGACACGTTCTACAGCAGCTGGGCTACAAGTCTGTCCTGGGAGTCTCTCAGTACCATGACAAGGTGGTCACCCTGCCCTGTGTGCTCAGCCTGGCTGCCAGACTGGGTCCCTGGGGAGTTGTATGGCAGAGATGGGGTGGGAGGGAGCATGCCAGTATTCATAGAATCATAGAATCATTTAGGTTGGAAAAGACCTTTAAGATCATCGGGTCCAACCATCAACCATGCCCACTAAACCATGTTCTGAGGTGCCTTGTCCACGTGCTTTTTGAACACCTCCAGTTGTCCACCACTTCCCTGGGCAGCCTGTTCCAATGCCTGACAACCCTTTTGGTGAAGAAATTTTTCCTAATATCCAATCTAAACCTCCCCTGGCACAACTTGAGGCTGTTTCCCCTCATCCTATCACTTGTTACTTGGGAGAAGAGACTGACCCCCACCTCACTACAACCCCCTTCAGGCAGTTGTAGAGAGCGATAAGGTCTCCCCTCAGCCTCCTCTTCTCCAGACTAAACAGCCCCAGCTCCCTCAGCCGCTCCTCACAAGACTTGTGCTCCAGGCCCCTCACCAGCTTGGTTGCCCTTCTCTGGACACGCTCCAGCACCTCCATGTCTTTCCTGTAGCGAGGGGCCCAAAACTGAACACAGGACTCAAGGTGTGGCCTCACCAGTGCCGACTACAGGGGAACAACCCCCTCCCTGCTCCTGCTGGCCACACCATTTCTGATACAGGCCAGGATGCCGTTGGCCTTCTTGGCCACCTGGGCACACTGCTGGCTCACATTCAGCCAGCCATCAACCAAAACCCCCAGGTCCTTTTCCACTGGGCAGCTTTCCAGCCACTCTTCCCCAAGCCTGTAGCGCTGCGTGGGGTTGTTGTGACCCAAGGGCAGGACCCGGCACTTGGCCTTGTTCAACCTCCTACAACTGGCCTCGGCCCGTTGCACCATCCAGCCCAAACTGCTTCAGTCCTTCTGGTGCGGCTGCTGGGCTGGAGTTCCCCAGCTCTCAGCTCCCATGGGGGCATGGGGCATGGATGAAGAGCTGCAGAAACAGGAGCCCTTGTTGAAGGGAAATTGAGTCATGGTGTGGCTGATCAGGTCTGCCAATTGCCCTGCCAGTTCGGTGCTTGCCTAACAGCTGGGGTACAGGCAAGGAGAAAGAGTTTTTGGGGAAATGGATGCAGGTGAAGACACCTGCTCCTGGGCACATCCATGGATAAGGCATAGAGGGCAGCCCACCAGCTGCTGCCCCTCATCACTGATGAGCTGAGAGTCCCTGGCCATTTTCCTCCTGAGCCTTGGGTCTCCTGGGTCTGTGCACTGGGACTACAGTCTTGCTGCCTCAAAGTGACCTTATGTCCCCTTGGGAACTGCCCTTTTGCCAGGGCCATGCGATGTTTGAACAAAGTTGCTCCGTTCAGCTGAAGCATGGGCTGAACATGCATGAGTGGGATTTGCATGGCCAACAGCCAGGCACCATGCTCTCCTCCCAAAGACCATGGTGTCATACCTGACTGTCCACATTGTTAAGTTATTTACACTGTCCCTGGCCTGGTTTTGGTGCCAGCCAGCAAACCTGAGCACAGGCTGGGAGTGAGATGGCTCAGGTTCCTGAAGGCAGGGGCGATGTGGTCACCAGCCCCCCTCCAAGGGATGGCATCCATGGTGGTGCAGAGGCTGGGCTATCCAAGCCAGGGGATATCCAGGCACCCGATGGGCTTTGCTGAGACCTGCTGAATGCAAGCTTAGCCCTGGCCCTTTTCCTCCCCTGGTCTGCTGGGTCCCTTGGCTGGTGGCTGGGGCTTCTTTTCCAGATGTTCCCCCTCTGGGGTCCTCCTCCCTGGTATCTCTGCACACGCAATGCCCTGGGCTTGGCTGTCTCTGGGTGCAACTTTCTGAGAGCACCAGCTCTGTCCCAGCTCATTAACTATAGTGACAGCCCCAGCAATACAATCCTGAGGAGGAGGAGGAAGAGGAGGAAAGCTGGTATGGGAAGAGAGGCCAAGACAAACAGCATGAGTGGGAAATGAGGATAACTTGTGCTTGCTTGTGCAGAAGCCTTCCTGCCGCTCGCTCAGTGACCCACGAGGGGCTGTGGCTGTGGAGGGGGAGGATGCTCGATGTGGATCTGCACCAGGGCTGAGCTGCCGCGGCTGATGCGGGTCCCTGCTCAGGTCAGGGACTGCAGGAGGGGCTTAGCCTGGGGCGAATCATGTTCATCCTTGGCTGAAGGCTACCCTGACAAGGAGCATGGTGTCCTGGCCCAGTTCCTTGGGAAGCTGAGGGAGAAGGGGCTTGTGCTGATCTCTTGGATGTTGGAAGCAGGTTTACCTATTTCCATCAGTTTGAGGCATGGCTTGGCCAACCTGCCTGTAAGAGCATGGCTGCAAAGCCCGTGGCTGCCGTCTCTTCTGGGAGGAGTAAATGTACCCTCCTCGGAGCAATGCAGCCATTCATGACAGATCCCTGCCAGGTCCTTGTCTTCCACAGCTCTCAAGGGGGAGGCAGCAGGCTGTCCTCATCCGCCAGTGAAGGACAGGGGGAGATGCTGTCCTGGGCCAGATAAGTGGTCTTGGCTGGCTGTCGCTCCTCCAGCCCTGCAGCAGCTGTCCCTACTCCAGAGCCTGAATTTTGGAAATCTGTCAAAAAAACGCAGAGCTCAGTACTTCATAAACCACAGAGTAAGTTTTTCTGATACAAAATGTCAATGATCTCTTTAGAGGGAAGCAGCCACTTTCCTCAGAGAGGAAAGGATCACTTTGGTCTGAGGTGTTCTGGAGCATCAGTTGAATCACCTGCAGTCCTTTATCCATGCCTGGGACCTGCATTTCACATGTTGTGGAATAAAAAGACATTATAACTGAAAAGCTTTCCTAGGGAGCTGACAGAACAGCTGCTCTCTTGGTGACTGTGCACAAGGCCAGGAAAGAAAGGCAAGACTGCATCTATGCAAAGAAACTGAACATGCTTTAGGTTGTTCTCTGGCAGCCAGGTCTCATAGCTGGGACCAAGGGAACATTCCTGTCTCTCCCAGGCATGGTGAAAGCTGTCTTGGATGCTTCCCAGGCTGCATTCAAGGGGCACAAGACACAGCAGGCACAATCTGCTGCTGTCTCAGGGTCTGAGCTGGCATGGGCATTCCTAGCCAGGAGGTAGGACTGAAAGTCTATAGCAAAAACACCCTTCTGCTTCTCTGCAGCAAGAGCGGGCACCAAAGGGAAATGCTACGCTGGTCTCACTTGGTGCCATAATACCCCTTCCAGGGGCTTTACTGGAACTGGTCTTGTCCCTTGCCTCCAAAGAGATGGCGTACGGGTGGGGGTTCTGTCACCAGCACCCCCCATGTGTTGCACATGTTGATCCTGGAGTGACTGGGGAGGAACCAGTTGCACAGAGGCAGGCAAGGTGAGCAGCACCACGGGGGCTAAAAGCTGTTCCCCCTCCCGCAGCCCTCGCATGTTGCTCCCTGGTGCAGAGGAGTCCACGGGAGCTGTGAATGTGCCCTGGGCATGTTTGCCAGTGCAAGGGCTGGTTGTGCCCCACGCTGGTGGTCTCCTCTGCTTGGTGCCAATGCAAGGGGCTGCTCTCCATGGTCACAGCTCCCTTGGCACCAGTGCCAGACCTGGCTGGCAGGGGCTCAGGGACCTGCCCGGGTTTTTGTGAGGACATGAGACATGTGGACGATTGGGAAAGCTGGGAAGCCAGGTGAGGAAAAGCCCCTTTATTCTCATCCCATTGCGCTGTTTGCTCTTGCCTAAACAGTAACATGTGTGGGTGATGGAGAGGATCCAGGCCAGGCCTGGATCCTCCTCAGGCCCCTGCTTGCTCCCCTCTCATTCCCAGCATGTCATCACCAGTGCTGCTTGTCCGGACACTTTCTGCTGAGATTTGTCCTGTGGGAAGATGCCAGCACCCTTGGCCAAGCTGTGGGGCTCGGAGCAGGGACTGGTGCCATCCCTGCCTGCCCTCCTCCTGCAGCTGAACTCTCCCTGGTGGTATCACCCAGCCTGTACCTCCATGGTCTGGCTTCTTAGGTCTGATCCCCAGGACTGGAGCATGGGACCAGCATGCTTTTCCTGGCCTGGGTCCCTGGAGTCAAACTGAGCCCAGAATTTGTCTGATATGGGGACCCTTGTGCCCACACGGGGCTCAGCTCGGTGCTTTTACAAGTTGCAGGTACTACAGCTCATTGCAGTGTGGGCTCAGCCACGAGCCAGGCGCACCCTTGCCCAGATCCCAGGGCTCAGAGCACCCTTTGTAAAGGGAA